AAAAAAACAAAAAAAAAAAAAAAAACCAATTTATTTGAAGCTCAATATTATATAGCTGTAATAAGTCTGTAAATGATACGTGTACCGCATGCACATATGTATATATAAATATAAATACAGATAAAGTTTCGCCTTAGCCATATATTTGTATACACTTTTGATGTGAGTGTGTGTTTGCATGCAAAGGCTACGCTTTTCCGCATTTTTCCTGCAAGTTCAAATTTCCTGTTTTTGCTTTAGCCTTGGCCCCTCTCTTAGCCCTCCCTAACCTTACACATTCACAGTCCGTTCTGGATGCTAGAGCATTCTTATTGGTTACTTTCCTCTCAATACTTGTAAATCTCGTTTGGCATTTCGCTACAACAGGAAATTGGGCAAGCAAATTGTGCATTAAATTCGACAAATTAACTGGGAATGAGTATACAAAATAGTGACTGAAAATACATTTTAAAAATAATCCCCAATATTATGTTTTTGGAAATTTAAAATTGGGCACATAGTAATTATTCTATTAGAGTCGCTTTTAATTGAATATAATCTAAATGACTTTTATAATTCCCGTTATTTATGTCAGAATTCCAACAGATATGCCTTGTCGCTGTTCCCATTCAATCTCGCAATCTCAATATGACAACTAGCAAAGCCAAAGCTATTCCATAACCATTATTGTGCCTTTCCGAAATATAACAGCGAAGTATTGTATTTTATGCATACATATGTATATGTACATCCATACATACATGCAGGCATTTTGGTGTGTAAAGGTATGTGTGCACTACTAGCACGAACGAACGGCTTATATGTACGTTCGTAGTATATACGTATGCATGCATATATGTAGTGATGTATGTTACGTTTAGCAAGTATATAGTTTGTTTTTGTAGGCTTTCGTTGCTTTTGAATTTTTGAGTTTCGCAGTATTGAAATCGTGGTGGTGGTTGTTGGTTGAAATTCTGTTCTGTTTCGTCTTCATATTGCTGCGAGAGTAAGCGCTCTCGCAGTCGTTTCGTTCCGTGCTAGTCTGCGTGTCTGTGAGAGTCTCTCGTGCGTGTGTGTTTGTGTATATGTGTGTGTTTTGTTGTTCGGCAAGGTGTTAGCGTTGCTGTGTTGAAAAATAGTTAAGTAAAGTTATTATTAAAAAACAACCGTGAGAGTAGCTGAATTGAAACTCGAAATTTTACGCAACCATTCAGCTGATTGGAAGTGTCAGTGCCAATTATTAATTAGAAATATATTGCCCGTGTTATGTGAAGCTGTCAACGATTGGTTTGTTAAATGTAATTAACGTTTTTTCTTATATTCTCTTATTCTTGAAAAATTCTCAACATAATAAGCGTAAATTTGTGCCATGTGATAGCGTGTGTGTGTGTGACTGTGCTTAAATATGTGAGAGAGAGACAACGCAGCGCTCTCTTGATTTTCGTGCGCTAGTGGCGCTCTCCCGCTCTCTCTGTCTCTCTCGCTCTCGTTTTATATCTTTTCCACATGACAGTGTGACATAGGAAATTTAAATCAAATAGTTATTAGTACAATAAGCGTACTAGTTGTTTTCAATAAGCTAAAATTTGTAGCTTTTGAAGAATTCGTCCAATGGCGATGATTATTTTTAAAAGTATTGATTAACAATTGAGGGTCAAAGCTAATTTTCAACCGGCTTTTATGAAGCTTGTAACCACTGTATGTAGTCTCTCAATCTTATGTGATTTTCTGACAGCTGGAAAATTACTCAGCTTTAGCTCCACAAATTGTGATTTGAGTTTCGAATGCAGCTATCGAGTTCTCCCGGCTCAACATCCCCTTCCATCTTTAAAAATCCATATGTACATGTATGCGACATTTCAGATTCAATCAAAACTAAATAGACTTTTTTCCAGTCATTGTGTTTCAGTATCAGCAACGTCTTTGAATATCATTACGCATCTATCTCGGGTGCTCAAGTCTCATTTATTTTTATTATATATACAAATATTATATATACATTGTGTATATACATACATATGTATGTGCATATTTGTACATATATAAATAATCCAATATGAACGCAGTTATAAACATAATTGCGCTTCATTTCGAAAAAAGTGACGAAATCTTTGTACCCGAAGTGCTTCACGAGCTCGTAATCGTATTTGGCATGTTTATTAACATTTTAAAATCGTTTACTCACTATCTCTAAATTTAGTTCATGTGTGTGTGTGTGTGTGTGTGTGTGTGTGCATGAGAGTTAAGGTTTATATGTGTGGCTCTGTGTGTGCTTTTGTGTATGTGTGTTCACGTTTATTCTTTTTTACCTTCCCTTTGACGTTATATTTCGTATTGAAATTTGTAATCAAAATCGATAAAAATATATATTTATTTACCTATTTAGATTTCGTTGTAGTTGTAAGTTGAGAACGTATCGCAGGTGTACTATGTACCAATGAACATTATTAAGGGGTTTTCGAGTGTTCTTCTCATTTGTCTCATATCAATTTCTGAGTAACAAAAATAATCTTAAGAAATATAAACACAAAATGTACTGAACTGACAGTTTATTCGATATATGTATATGATTTTCTAGTGTGTGTGTCATTTTCTTTTGTATTAATGTGATTTCAAATCTGGTTTAGTAAGTTTTTCTAAATATTCCAAGCAGCTGCGATTTGAATTTTCATACATTGTATATTCTAAGCCATTTAACTAAATGTTTTTTTAGAAAACATAGTTTTGTATTTTGAAAATGAGAGTTTTTCAATATTGCCTCAATTTATATTGTTGAATATAACTAACTTTTTCACTTTGGTTCTGTTCTCAATAGAGTTTACGTAACCATTTGAGGGAAATAGAAAAGACGCATCGATGTTAATGCCGCGGTATTCCGAGCAGGAAAGCCACAGCGAGAAAAGTTTTGCTGGTAAGCACAACCACGCCTCCACCACAGTGGCCGCCCATACAAAAATGCGTTTAATTAGCAAAGTGGAGCACAATATGCGCCAACAGCAGCAACAACAACAGCAAAAGCAACAAAATCAAAATCAAAATCAAAGCATCAACAAGCTAATCAATACGGCTGCCTCGGGCAATGGGCTGGTGGGCGATGTGGACGAGCTATTGACACCAATGCGTATCAAAAGTGATCCCATGTCCAATGGCAATGGCAGTGGCAATGGCGGTAAAGAGACGTCCACTAGACCGGAGCGCAACCTGTGGAGTCGCGTTGAGATGCTCGAGATGCTGAACATAATGCAGGAGATGAATGCCCTGGACCAGCTCAGCGATCGGAATGTGAAGAGCGAGCATGTGTTTCGCCAAATCGAGGAGGCGATGCGCAGGAAGGGCCTTGTGAAAAAGTCAAGTATTCAGATCTGGACCAAATGGAAGTTCCTCAAGTCCACATACAACACAACAACGCGGCACGGCAATGGCATACCCAAGGTCGTGCCGGAGGAGGTGTACCGCGTGCTTTGCCGCATGCTGCGCGAGCATGCGAATGCAAACAGCATTGGCAGTGGCATCAGTAGTGAGTGTGGTAACTCCAGAGACAGCTCCAATGCGGAGCTGGCCAAGGCAGTGATCAAGAATACCGAGGTCAAGGAGGAGCTGGGCGTGGAACATCCCATATTTGGCTTTCGCTTGGGTCTAATCAAGCCGGAACCCCTGGATACGGGTAAGAGCGTCATCACAAATGAGTTTTGAGTCAAAAATCAAATGTTCAAATATGAAATATTTAATTTATCAGGTTACGAGACAATGCCTATTGATCATCATCCCAACTCGAGCGAGGAGGACCTGAAAAACGAGGACTATGTACGAGCGCACGACCAAACGCAGGCCCTGGAGCACATGCCCTTCACGGTCAATGTGAAACACGAGCCCGAAATGGATTTGGGCATGGATAGCACCAATACACCGCCGCCAACGGCACCGACGTCGCCCTCGCCACCGCCAAGCAGCATGGAACAAAGAGACCTGGACGATTCGTCCACGATGTATCCGAGCAAGTCGCAGTCCTTATCCCTGCCGCCGCTGCGCGTTGCCGCCTTTGCAAACGATGCACAGCCAATTGTCGCATCCACGCCCACACATGGCATACTCCAGATCGAACGACCTGTCTCACAGCTCACCAAGCCTGCCGTGAACGGTGGTCCCGGCCGGGGCAATCGCAGCATGGCCTTAAATAGCACCAGCAGCATTAATTTCGTGCATCCCAATACCAAATTGATGCTGCCCCGTAAACAGCCACCGCTGCGCATTCCCCGTGAGATCAGTGTGCAGCCGGCGAACGTACGTGCGCTGAAACCCGTACCTGTGCGCGACACGGGATACATGCTGCGTCCAGATCGCATGATACCTGATCTGGAACAGTCCATATCGCCGCCACAATCACCATCGCCGCCCATGCCCAGCCAGCCTATGCCGAAATATTCCATTCCATATGCCTCGACGAGCAGGCAGGCGCAGCTGCTCACTGAACAGCAAACGCCTCCTCGAAAGCGGCGTCTTCAATTTGGTCAGCAATCGTCACCTGTGCCCATCAAGCTGCAGCGCAGCTCCACACTCTACGAGAGCCCCAATCAGCAAAGCAGCATTCACAATGAAGATGCTGTCGCCGCGGAAGAACAGAGAAGTCGAATACTCGCTGAACAGGCACAGCGTCGCAAGGAACAACAGGATGAGCTATTCCAGAAGGAGCTTAGCCATCTGGCCACTGCAATGCGGGAGGCACAGAAAGAGATGCTCCATAATTTCTTCCAGCAGCAAAAGCAGTTTGCACGCCGCGAGCATCAGTTCCAGCTGAAGCAGGATAATTTGGTCATGAGTGCTCTGCGTAAACAAACGGACGTACTGCTTCGGGCAGCCAAGCAGCTGATTCCGTGTGAGCAGGACGAGGTAGAGGAGGTGGCAAAAAGTAAACCATCCGCTAAAGCCAAGGTCCAGCAGCAGAAGGACACGTCGAGTAGCTGTCTCTCACTGAAACCTGATACTGAGCTGCCACAGGACATTCAAAAGCTTGAGGAAGAAGAGACGGAGGATGAGGGGGACAAAGAAGATGAAGAGCTGGAGCAATACGAAGAGGAAACGCAGGAGAGTGAAGAATGCAATGAGACCGAAGCTGTTGTGGAATCGTCTGTTAACACAGTCAGCGAATTATCCTCCAATCAAAGCAGAAGCTCGATCGACGCACAAATATGTTAATATATATATTAATATATTCTAGTATATCAAGTATTATCACAAAAATAGAGAACTATAATATTGTCATTCCTAATGTCCAAAACCAGAAACATTTCCAATCACATTCCTTAATTTTTGAAAAGAAAAAAAAAAAAACATTTAGGCATATATATATAGATTATATATATACATATTCCTAGAGCAAAGCCCACATTGTTAAAAGACTTGATTATATTTAAGCATTGTTTGTGCTATTAAATCTATTGAAACATCAAAATATATTAATACATAGTGATATTTAAGCAATATCGAAATCGAAGCAGATATGGAAACCGTATCATTTATGAATATATGAAATTATGTAAATTTACAAAGCTGAATCAAGATTGTATTTTTCTTAAAATTGGTGAAAAATTGTAAAATTGTAAAATATATATGTATAAAAATATATGAATACAAGTATTAATCGAATGCAGCATTAAAGAGTTCTTAAGTGTCGGCTTCCATTTCTGCATCTCGCACACCTCAATGCATTCTACAGCTCAAGAATCAGTTTTCAATTTCCAGTTTTCTTAACAAGAATTGTATTTAGTATTGCATTATTTGAAACAATATATTCAAGAATTAGGAATTAAACGAAATATGAAAACGCATTAGAAACTAGCGAGAAATCAATTGTTCTTATTAGCTATATATATATATATTCTTTCAAAAATTTGTTTAAACTAAATACTACATAGTAACTAGCACTAGCTTAAAATGTGTATGTGTATGTTTCACTAAACTAGTTGTGTTTAGTTGTTGCACAAGATTAAACGCCTAAAGCATAACTATTATTATAATTATATTTATAATTATTAGTTGCTAGTTTTTTTTTCTTTTTTTTATATTTTACAATTACGATTACAGGCCCCCCTTAATGAACACCCCTCCAAAACGATTGCCCCAACGACTGCAATGATCCACACTGCCTACATATATATTATA